CCCCCCCGGCCACCCGGCCCACCCAGGCGGCCCCGTGGGACCATGAACGTTCTGGCTCCGGTCCGCAGGGACAGGGTCATCGCCGACCTGCCCTCGGTGAGCAGCAGCGGGGGGACACGCACTGGCCCCGGGGGTGGCCTCGCCGAGCCCCGTGGTCACACCCGTGTCCCCCTTTGTCCCCCCCAAACAGTGTTTTCGGAAGGAGGCCGCCCTGCACGCCCGCTCCGCCTTCCACCCCACGGTGGCCAGCGCCTGCCAGGAACAGCGGACGGGCACCGTGGGGTGAGTCCAGGGCGATTTGGGGTCCCCAATCCAGGGTTGGGGGGGGTGACAAGGGGCCCACGGTCCCACCAGCCCCGGGTGGGGGTCCCCGGCACAGGCGCCTCGTGGCTGCCGGCGCTGCCCGTGTGCCGAGCCCTGCGTCACGGCGCAGGAATGCGGCGCGGGGGGGGACGACATGGGGGTCCGGGTTGGGCTGTGGCTGACGGCGGGGTGGGAAAGCCGGGTTTGCAGGGTGCTGCCAGACACGGGGGGCTACGGGGCGATTCTCCCCCACCCCGTGAACCCGCCTGCCTGGGGGGCCGGCTGGGGGGAGGCAGGCAAGGAGCCCCCCATGCCGCTGAGCGGCCATGCGTCCCCCTGCCCTGCAGGTTCAAGATCTCCAAGATCATCGTGGTGGGGGACCTCTCGGTGGGAAAGACCTGCCTGATCAACCGGTAATGGGACGTCCCCCACCCCAAAGAGGGTCTGCGGGGGGGGCAGGGAGACACCACACACCCCCCCCCAAAGGGCAGCAGCACCTTGGGCTGAGCTCGACTCCAGCCGGACTCTGGTGCTGGGCACCCCCCGGGGTGGGGGGCACTGACCCCCCCCCCATGGGTGGGATTTTGGGGGACCAGGGGCTGCTGACAGCCCCCCCCCGCTCCCTCCAGCTTTTGCAAAGACACCTTCGACAAGAACTACAAGGCAACCATCGGAGTGGATTTCGAGATGGAGCGCTTTGAGGTGCTGGGGGTGCCCTTCAGCCTGCAGCTGTGAGTAGGTGCCAGCCCCCTCCCTGCGCACCCCTGTGGCCCCTCCTCACCTCCCGTACCCCCCCTCCCCAGGTGGGACACGGCCGGCCAGGAACGCTTCAAGTGCATCGCCTCCACCTACTACCGGGGAGCGCAAGGTGAGGTCCCCACCGCGTCCCACCACACCAGCTGTCCCCATCCCCATCTCACCCTTCCTTCCCCCCTCACCAGCCATCGTGATCGTCTTCGATGTCAACGACGTGGCATCCCTGGAGCACACGCGGTAGGTGACACGTGGTCAAGGGGCTGAGGGGGGACTGGGGATGAGTGTGGGGGGTGGTGGGGCTGGATGGAGAGGTGAGAGCCGGGCA